AAAGGCCACCGTGTCAACATCCCAAGCGCTCCGACGTTTCCCGTGTTAGATGGAAACCGAGCAGTCATTAACATACCCACCAGAAATCGGGTACTGAAAGTCCCATAACAACCCCCAGAGACTTAAGAAGTCACCCTTGTATGAGCCACCTAACTTCCCTATCCTTATCCGCAATTATTGAGTCCGTAAGCCAGTGATAGAAATATGAATATATGATCCAAGCCTCTTTATAAATATGGACATATGCTTAAAGTATATTTATAAATGAGGATATATGCTCAAAGTATATTTATGACTAGGGCTATACGATCAAAGCTTCTATATAAATAAGGCTTACGACATTCATGATCATGAACATAAAAGTGTTATAGTTATCAATCCATGCAGTACAGCAGAATAAAGGAAATACTCAGTGATTGCTTACCTTTCAGGTAACCAAAACACTACACCCAATAGCACATCAACACTGTAATCAAGTTTACACAGCGCACTACTTGGTCTGTGAAGCGATCTCCTCCACACAATAATTGAACTGGATCGCCATCTACGCCCTTATCTTTAACAAATTTGATCCTGGGAACAAGTACCCAGAGAAGGAATGGAATGTATAATGTAAATAGGCGTAAGGGCTGTCGCGCTGATTGACACTAAGCAGCCTTGTGAACCTTCTGGAACGGTTTTGTGTACTACAGGGTTGGACTCACATGCAAAAAACGTGTTCTGAGATATTTCGTAAGCTTACATGATGCATTTACACCAAACATGTGCTCATCATAGTCTTGATGTGCTTTTCTTTTATATTGCATGTATAGGATGTGGAGCCTCCTATTGATGCAAACCTTGTCGTATTTGACAATATTCCAGTTTGTTTGAAGTGATATCGAATTTGTTTATATATATGTAAATGCGTTGAATGCGGGTGAGTGGAATATTGTTTTAGTATGAGAAATAAAAGTACCATCTTTGTACACGTGATCAAGTGGCCTTATTCACTTTCAGGTATCGCTCTCCGTACTTTCTGAATTTAAAACAAAGAATTGCTTCTAGTGAATGGTGATATACAGATATGTTCCAACCTTATGTCTTGATATCGTACTAGAATCATCCGGTTATCGTTTGGTACTCTTTTATATGCATGCGCTAGCTGGCCATGGTTGCACAATTGTTTCTGGACTGGAAGGTGCCAAGGTGGTTGGAATGATTTTAGTATTGTTTTTGTAAATAGAAAGTGACAGATAGCCAATGTTATCTGATCTACCGGTTTTTCGGCATTAGTATAGATAAAGTTTGAGAGAAATCTATACCGACCGGCGATACCGACAATGTTTGCACATAATATAATTTGTCCGCTTTTGGCGTAGGTATGTCATTATTTATATTATATAAAAAAAACACAAATACTTGTGGTTTCACCGCGGTGACTCTAGCAATAGCGGCCACCCAGCAACAAGCGTTCTCACTAGTGGCCGCGCCGCGTTGGACATTCATCACGTAGGCTTGAGACATATGTTACGAGTACGACTCTTTTCTCTGAGCACGCTCATTTCGTTCATCTCTCTTCAGTGAGTCTTTCGTTCGGAGTCGTTCATTTGAACGACACAATAACCGACCGGCCTCGAAGCTGACGAGAGTATTGTGTTGCCTATAGTAACGACTCACTGAGTCAGAGAATATACATCATACTATGAAAATGAAATGAAGGGTTAGGGTTGCCGATGTTATTGTATTTATTTGAGTATTAGTATTTTTGGTTGATATTGAATGTACCGAATGTATACTGTCTTCCGAGAAAAGAAGGGATCTGTGGTTCGGTTTTGAGGAATTACCGAATTCTGAATCAAAATGCAACTTTTGGTCTTAAATCCCATCATTTAAACACATAATTTAATGGGACATCTCAAAACAAAAGAACCGAGTTCCCTAGATTGTGTCTCACCTGTTGCCACGTTGTCAGTTCGCAGTTCAGTTGCAGCGTGCATACTGCGGACGTGCAGACACGCTTTGTACAATTGAACGAGTTATATGTAACAAAAAAGTCATTCAATCATCGCTCACACAGATGACTCGTTCATTTTGAACGACTCGTTCGCGAACGACACATGACTATCATCGCGCGTCACGAGAGCAATGAAGCCGGCGCACCTGAAGCGTCCCATATGAAACGGCGTTATAGTACATATATATGCTTTGTGGGTTATCACATTATCAATTTATTACATTCCGTAGCCGGGGCATATTAAGCCTACCAGGGGGAACGACAGTTACCTATACGAAACGCACATGCAAATTTCAAAGATAGTTTTCACAATTTTCCTTCAAATCAACACCACCTTTTTTCACGAAAATTAATGTTACAAAGTGTCCTTCATATACGGCATAAAAATTAAGTATAGACAAGTCGAGAAGGGAATCCCTCTGTCTGTTGTAATAGAGGGTGTTCCATGCTTGAATGGACATGGTGAAACGGCAGGTTGTATGGACCGAGACGTTTTCTCATCTTAAAATTTTTAGTTTTAGGGTGACTTATCTAATCATTCCAAATCCTTAAGATCGCATGTCCCAGGCACTATTAAACCGATTTCCTTGAAATTTTGCACGTCAACAAAGTAGGAGTTACGTGAAGGTAGACGAGCGGCTAAATGTTAAGCAATGCAGGACTTGACCCAGTTTTTTACTTTTTTGCTTTTGTTCAAAGTCAACACACTTTTGGCTTGATATTGAAATGTTTGACTATTCACAAAAAATCCAAATAATAGCGCTGACTGATTATCAAAACAAATTGTGTTGGTGAGGCTGTTGTTGCTAACGATTTGCGGAAAGTGATACGAAACACGGATGAATTTTAACGGATTTAGGGCCAATTTCACCAACAACAGTCGGTTATTCTCCACCTATAGGGTTACAGACCGTCAAATACAACGAATGAGCTTCAAGTTCCAATCAACCAATTTTAGCAACCAATAGCTATAAAATGTTGAAAACAAAATACTGTCAAAGTATGAGATGACAGCTTGTCATTGAAACATCACCAGCTCATGGAGTATTAAGAAATTACATATAATCCAGTCATAATTTAAAGAAATGTTTGTTTTTTGAATTAAATTCATGTTTTAATAACTATTGTAGATTTTTTATTCATGTTTATATTATTTTCTTCAATTGATATGCGATACTGGGTGTTTTTTCCTATAAACCTCTTGCAGATAGCCATTAAGCACCTACTTGATGACAGGCTCTACGAAAATATATTGCTCGTTTCCAAACATTCATTCATTTACTTGCCGTTCATCAGAACCATTATGGCACCTTAGATTGATATTCCCACAAAACCATTCAGGTTTTTTGATATCCATACATCCGTAAAGTTGAATATTTTTCGTTATTCAGGAACTGAATAAACATCCACACTATATTCACAGCGATTAAGAAATTCCCAAATATATGCCTTAAAGGGAACCTAAACCCTGCAAAAAAAACTAAAAATTTGCCATATTTTTCTTTTTTCACGAGTACACATTCTAGGTTATATTTATATTACTTGAATACAGCTGATTATTGCATTTCAAGGAGTGACACATGTGTGGGATCTGTTAACTCTTGGTACGCGTCACAAAACATATACTCTGAAGGTTTAATTCCATGCTATTCAATGACAACACGGTGACTTGTGTGGTTGTCATCGGCCATTTTGTGAGGGTTGCGACAGCGTTGCCAGATTGTGCATTAATATCCCGTTTCACCCTCCTGGTCCCAGTGGAGTAAGTTCCGCCAACTGTTGAAATATACTCTACTACGCTTTATAAGACTATTCGTGACATTTTTCCCAAAATCATTGCACAACACTTGAAAAAATGCAAATGAAAATTTAAAATTATTTCCATGACGCCGCAAAATAGCTCCGTCGTTACCTTGGGTTTTACATCTTGGCAGTAGGGATGTTCGATACGATCCTATATTTAGAAGTATCAATACATTTCAAGAGTATCGTCATCTTTCGATCCGGACTGTGTCAGAAAGAGTGACTGCCATTTGGCTGCGACATTACCCTGCCAAATCAGACATATCTTTCATCATTTTCAAAGAAATTGTGCAAAATCTTCAAATTTGTGAAGTTAGCGAGTTTCACTTCATGCGTTGTCATGTCGCCCAAATCATCAGTTGCCCCCGTGATATTCATCCCGACCACTGCATCTCCACGGCTAGGCGACCTGTATGTTAAATTTGTATTGATAGGGCAGCGGGTTATGCTATAAATCACAGTGTTTGTGCACTGATTGCAACGGGTAGATGATACCAAAAATATTTTCATAAATAGGAGATCTTTCCCATTCCGGATCGAACAATCTACCAAATATGCTTATAAACATGATACCTAGTAAATTTTCACCAAAAAAATTAAAAACCAGCAAATGTAAAAGATTCGTTTCGCACCCTCCACCACGGGAAGTGATCGTTGTTAGACTTGGCAACCCTGCGAGTGACAGATAGATATCCCCGCCAGTCAAAAAGACAAACAAAAAAATAAACATTACTAGTTTTTATGATTTTTGGACTTAAAAGACATTATTTGTGAAACACTTTTCATAATTTTTTGTCAATGTCCATAGTAATTGCATTATGCATCAGAGAGATGTAGGAATTGACACGAGTTATGTTGCTGTATTAATTGATATAATAATTGCATTGTATTCCTTTTTACTAGCTCATCACTTTTGGTTTATATTAACGATTGTATCTTAATTCTGAGTCAGTCAGTCAATCTCGGTCACAGCGAACACCACTGTAGGGTAAAGTCGGGTATATTGTACCGGTCTTTAATTTGTACCACCTCAATATTTCCTGAACTATAGAACTCTAACGCCATCTATTTACCTTGTTTGATAACCCCTGGCGCCAAAACGTATCTAACGAACTCTGGCAACTGACGGTCGTTCGTGTATCTAGTTATTTGGTGTTTGTGAAACACGTCCTCACGCAGTAAGTATTATACAATCTTAGATAAGCCCTTATGTCCAAATAATCAGTTTCTGCTAAGTGCCGTTATATTTTTCGTAGTTATTGATTATTTTATAAGATCTTTATTGAGTTAAGTTTCACCTAACCTCACGTTTTAAAAAGAAGTAAGAATATTTATGTTATTCATACTAGTTCGGTAATTTGTACCACTGGCTGGTTTGCTAATTTGTACCGGTACGATTTAACAAACTCTTGTATTATTTTTCAGTCATGCCTCGCAAGGGCTTAACATATGGAAAATGGAGCGAAGAAAACATGAAGAAAGCAATAAAACTGTACAAAACGGGAGAATTTGGACTTAATGCGATCAGCAAGAGATATCAGATTCCAAAGCCAACGTTCAAGAGGCATTTGTTAGGGACAAATGTCAAAGCAAAGGAAGGACTGAAATAACTAGGTAGGGTCCAAGTATTCAGCACCGAAGTAGAGCAGGAGCTAGAAAATCAAATCCTGAAAATGGAAGAAATTTTCTTTGGACTCACCATTCAAGATATTAGAACAGCTGCCTATCAGTTTGCAGAGAAGAATGGAATAAAACATAATTTCAACAAAGTGAAGGGGACAGCCGGTAAAGCATGGTTTTATAATTTCATGAAAAGGCATCCAAAGCTTTCTTTAAGGCAGCCGGAATCAACATCGCTAGCTAGGTGCAAGGGATTTAACAGACAGAATGTCAATCATCTAAAAATGCTCAACAGCAAAAAAATGTAATAGATCTCCCAAATATCTCATTTGATGAGATCATTTGCTTGGCAGGGACTAGCGGATCAACAAAAATGCCCAACAGGCTGCAGTGCTTACAAGCACCCCATATAAGGACGAGTTAGAAAATAGAAAAAAAACCTTGCTTAATGAAAAAAAAGGTGCAGTGAAAAGGGCAGTACTGTCAGACTTACATGAAAATTCAAAAGAAAAAATGACAGCCAAGACAAGATATATGAAATCCAGAAATTCTTGTTCCCCCACTAAAGCAGATGAGGTGACTAATGCTGTTATAGAGGCAAATGCTGATGACTGGTTTTGCATCATCTGCCAGGAATGCATTATAGAGGATATGATCAGGTGTGATCAATGCACAAATTGGGTGCACGAAAGCTGTGCTTCATTTCCCAGCCGAAATCGGTATATTTGTGACCTGTGTGCCTAAGATTCCTGTAGAGGAGTTCAACAAATAAAGATTTTAATTTATTTTGAGTTATTTTGCTAGAGTTATGTTTTATTTCAACTTTGTTCCTTATTTGTGATCTCTTTGATGTAAGTTCATAATTACATGTATAATTATAATAATACACTGTCTTGCTTTATGGCTATACCAACCTGTTCCACTAACAATGAAAATCTTATGGATTTTGCCATGGTACAATTTAAAACCCCCGTGGTACAACTTAGCGAACCGGTTCGATAAATTGTACCGTTTCCAACATTTTTTTAAAATGCATCTTATTTTAAGCTCTGAGCATTCACATCAATCTAAAGTTGCGAATTTTGACAGACACATGTCATATTACCTTACTTCGAAGTTTCGCTCAATACAAACAAGTCATCAAGGAGTTATTTCTTAAAATACGTTAGGTGGTACAATATACCCGACTTTACCCTAATTCCGGTTCGGTCATTGTAAACTATTGTGGGAACCAAATAAAGTTTTTTAAAAACGAAGTTTGAAGTTCCGACTACATAATTGGCGCCCCAAAGGGATTTTCGCCGATTAGCCCTTGAGTCCGAACTCTTAATTGGGAATCACGAACCTCCGTGACGAGCCAGTACGACTGAAGAAAGAAGAAAGAAGAAAGAATTTGGACCACAAGCGCCGTTGGTCCTGTTGAAGTCGACGTCCACCTGAGGAACCTAGGCCAAGAACGGGATGAAGTACTGGACCTATCATAAGTGCTCATTGTATCCTTATTTTCTCATGAGTGACTCACCCCGACCTGTACATCCTTTCGAAGGTGATAGTGCAGATCAAATCACTAATCGCATAGCAAGCTTAGAATTAGGAAGTAGAGAAATAAGACAACAAACGAAACTATAGAAAAGGTAATAATGACGACAGCCACTAGAATTAGTGCCCCCAGTTCGACATAAAATTACTCCAAATTATCCCAGAATTTGATGGGAATCCCTGTAGACCATATAGATATTTAGAAATAAGCACAGATTTCTTAAATAACTATTGGAACACTGATGATACAGGATGTGTCCAAAACAAAATACTGCTGCATGGCATTTTCTCGAAATTGACTGGTGCTGCAGAGCAAGTATTTTCTCTTAGCGGTTCCACAGACTGGAACAGCATCAAAAATTTGCTAATTGCTCATTTTGGTGATCAAAGATATGACTGCCCTTAGACAAAATTCTAATGAAAGCTCTTTACATTTTTATTCTAGAGTTGTAACCATGCTGAATCATTTACATAACTATATAAATATTCATGAAACAGTTGATGCTATTAAAACTAGTAAAAAGGCACTGTATGATAGTCATGCTTTGCATTCACTTTTAGTAGGTTTAAAGGAGCCACAAAGTTCCATGATTCGGTCGATGAAACCTAAAAATTTGGCAGAAGCTCAAGCTTATATTTTAGAAGATAATAACATCAGATATTTAAAAAAGGCTGGTGCACATTCAAATTTCAATAAGCCACCTCAGCCTGCCCTTCCATCCAAACCACATTTTCAAAATTTGTTTAAGCCTCAAACGCAGCCTATGAATCAATTTAGGCCTCAGCAAAATTTCAATTATCAGCCTCAATTCCCAAGAGGACCAGTTCCGATTCAACCTAGACAAAATCCTCTTCCACAAAAATTTCCAACAAACGCACAAGTTTTTGGCAATAGACCTAATGTTAATGTTTGGCGTAATCCGCCTAACCAAGGACCTTCCTACAGGTCTACTCCTATGAGTGGTGTTAGTAGCATCAATAGAAATAGGAATTTCCAAAATAATTATTTTAGGCCTTCTGGCCCAAGGAACTTTGTTTCTCAAGAATTACATAACGTTGCGAGTGATCCTTATGATCAAAACAACCCTTACAATGACTATTACTCGGAATATTGTCAGGATAGTGAAAATCAGTATGACTGTTCTGATCTACATTACGAAAACACTGATGAGACACAAAATGATGTTTCTGAAACTGGTCAAAATCCAGATGAAGAAAAAAAATTTTCAGATGGCCGTGCCCATGATAGAGGAGACATAATATACTTAAACACGATTTATGACAAAACAGAGTTACCTTATATTGAAATTGAAAATCCGCCTTTAAAGCTTCTTATTGATACTGGTGCAACGAAATCATTTTTTAATCTTGATCTTGCACAATTGCATTTTCCAAAATGTATTTATAAAGAACCATTCGAAGTAACTTCAGTTTTTCAGCATTCGAAGAGAGACTATTGTGCTAAAATTCCTGCCTTCTCAGAACTCAATGTTAGTGAGCATATGAAATTTCATTTATTCAAATTTCATAAGTATTTTGCATACCAAAAACGCCAAAATTCCAATCAAATTTCATGATTTGAAAAATCGTTTGTTATAGAAATTGAGCCCTACACGGCGGCCCTAGCCAAAATTCCTGTCGATACTTATAATGGAGAAATTTTGATTCCAAATTCCAAAATTAGAGATTGTGTAATCAAGGAAACGCTTACTCATGCTGTAAACGGTTTTGCCCTAGTTGACCTAGAAAATCCTGGTAACACTTATCAAGAAATTTCCTTGTATGAGCCTATTGTTTCATTTCCGTTCGATGCAAACAATTACGCTTTATTCCAAGGTATCATTAAACCATCTGAATCAGTTTCGCCGTTGCGACATGATTTCAGTAAACTGATACGAACATCTCATCTCAATAATGAAGAAAAAACTCATATTCTAAAATTGTGTCAAACCTACTCCGACGTATTCTATTACGAGGGTGATGCGTTAACTTTCACAAACCAAATTAAGCATCATATTAGGACCACAGATGAACTTCCTGTTCATACAAAATCGTATCGTTATCCACACATGCTCAAAAACGAAATGCAAAGCCAAATTAGATCCCTTCTAGATCAGAATATTATTCGACATAGTAGTTCAGCTTGGAATTCTCCAGTTTTTCTCATTCCCAAAAAACCTGATGCTAGTGGTAAAAAGAAATGGCGTATGGTGTGGTTGACTATCGAAAGATTAATGAAAAGACCATAGATGATCGCTACCCCATTCCATGTATTTCTGGCATTTTAGACAAATCAGGTCGTTGTAATTATTTCACAACTTTGGATTTAGCTAGCGGTCTCCACCAGATTGAAATAGCCTCGGAAGATATTCAAAAAACAGCATTTGGTGTTGATGGAGGTCATTACGAATACCTTCGTATGAGTTTTGGTCTTAAAGGAGCACCGAGCACACTTCAGAGTATCGTGGACAATGTCTTGCGAGGACTAGATAACACTGTGGTGTATATGGATGACATCATAATTTATTCTACTACTTTACAAGAACACATTGTATCATTGAAAAAGGTTTTTCAAAGATTAAGGGAGACAAACCTCAAAGTTCAATTAGACAAATCCGAATTTTTATGTTTAAAAAAAGGAGCAGAAATTAAACATGACGAAAAATTTCTCAAAGCTTTTGAATATTGTAAAAATCTGTTAACGAATGAACCATTACTACAATATCCGGATTTTGAAAATCCCTTCGTACTGACTACCGACGCAAGTAATTTTGCTGTATCAGTTATACTTTCTCAAGGCCCTATTGGCTCTGACAAACCAATAGCTTATGCATCTAGAACATTAAATGATTCTGAACAAAATTACAGTGCGACTGAAAAAGAACGTTTAGCAATTGTTTATGGAACTAAGTATTTTAGACATTATCTTTTTGGACGAAAATTTAAAATTGTAACAGATTGCAAGCCGCTTCAGTGGTTAATGACTTTAAAAGAACCAAATTCTGGATTACAAAGATGGCGCTTAAAATTACCCGAATTTGAGAATGAAGTTATATACAAAAAAGGTAAAGAAAATAAAAATGCTGATGTGCTTTCTCGTATTCAAATTCACGCTACCGTAACTGATCCTCAACCTTCTACATCACAAATTCAAGATGAAGAAGAGTCCCCATTTATCCGATACATGAAAACCTTCAATAAAGACTTTTCCGAAAAACCTGCAGATGACCAAACGTCTATAGAAAATAATGTAGGTGATGAACAAACAGTACGCAATTTGCTAGACTTAAGTGAACGAGTTGAAAACGTAACTATTCACTCAGACGATGAAAGCCCCATTCAAGAAATTAACCCTGTAGAAAAACCTATCAATGTTTTCAAGTACCAAATTTTTGTTAAAAAAGCTATTATGCCCAGAAAACTCACACTTCAAACCTTATGGGATCCGAAGAAATTCTTGTACACATGGTATATTGTTAAAGGTGATTTAACTCCCATTATACACTTTCTGAAAGACTACGGTGTACTAAAAAGTACTTATGCATTTTATTTTGAAGATAATCATAACGACGAAATGTATCAAATTT